TCTCAACCTTTTTAATGCCACGACCCCCAACCGGTCGTAAGTCGAGGACTACCCAACCGGTCGTAAGTCAAGGACTTTCCCTGCCCGGGAGCGCCACACATGCGTGGTGCCGCCCCCTGCGCTGGCCGAGGCGTAGCTGGCAAGGGGCAGAGACGGCGCAGGCCGACCACAGTCTGGGCCACCAGCTGGCCCAGCCCAAGGGAGGTAAGGCACCCGCCGGGCCCCACGCGTGCCAGCAACCCTCCCTGCGCCCGCCGGCCTCCCACCTCCCATGATAGCTGTGTTCCAGTATCTCAGGGACTGCCCCAAAGAAGAGGGAGTCAAGCTATTCTCCAAAGCCCCTGAAGGCAGGACAAGAAGCCACGGGTGGAAACTAATCAAGGAGAGAAGCAACCTAGAACTAAGGAGAAACTTCCTGACAGTTAGAACAATGAACCAGTGGAACAGCCTGCCTCCAGAAGCGGTGAATGCGCCAACACTGGAAGTTTTTAAGAAGAGACTGGACAGCCATTTGTCCGAAATGGTATAGGGTCTCCTGCCTGAGCAGGGGGTTGGACTAGATGACCTCCAAGGTCCCTTCCAACTTTATCATCATCATCATCATCATCATCATTATGAATCATCGCACAGTCAGCCAGATGTTCAGACTGGATTTGGCATTTTGTCTACCTATCGAGTCCTTACTCAGGACCTGGGATAGGCAGATGTGGATGTTTGATGGTATTACAGGTATCGTCGCAGGATGGAAGCAGTTCCTAGTAAGGCCGCCTTTTGCAATTGACTAGGAAATATTAAAAGGGCAGAAAAATATAATAATAATGATAATAATGATGATAATAACAACAACAACAACACCTGGGCAATTCCAGTCATCAGGTACACAGCTGGAATAGTGGACTGGACTCAAGCAGAACTAAAAGCAATGGATAGGAAGACCAGAAAAATAATGACAATGAATCATGCCCTTCATCCACGCAGTGACATTGATAGACTTTATCTACCAAGGCAAATAGGTGGGCGTGGAATGCTACAAGTACATCAGATGGTTGAAGAAGAAAAAATGGCTTTGGAAGAATATCTGAAGAACAATGATGAAGATGCACTGAAATTAGTATATCAGGAAGGCTTACTGACTACTGGAGAGACCAAACTGGCCTACAAGAAAGACCAAATGAAGAACAGAATAGAGGCATGGGAAGACAAAGCACTACATGGCCAATACATGAAAAAAATAGCTGGGAAAGCAGATAATAATAAAACCTGGCAATGGCTAAGAGCAGGAAAATTGAAGAAAGAGACCGAGGGACTAATTCTGGCTGCACAAGACCAAGCCTTAAGGACAAATGCATATAAAAGTCAAAATTGAGAAGACAGCAACAGACAGTAAGTGCCGCCTATGCAAAGAAGCTGAAGAAACAGTGGACCACCTGGTAAGCTGTTGCAAGAAGATTGCACAGACTGACTACAAGCAGCGGCATGACAAAGTAGCAACAATGGTGCATTGGAAGATCTGCAAAAAATATCATTTGCCTGTAAGCAAAAACTGGTGGGATCATAAAATAGAGAAAGTCATAGAAAATGATAAAATTAAACTGCTCTGGGACTTCAGAATTCAAACAGACAAGCACCTGCAACATAACACCCCAGACTTAACAATTGTCGATAAAAAGACAAAAAAGTCTGGATAGTGGATGTGGCAGTGCCTGGAGACAGCAGAATAGAAGAGAAAGAACTGGAGAAGATACAAAATACAAAGACCTACAAATAGAAATAGAAAGACTGTGGCAAAAGCAAGCAAGGGTAGTACCAATAGTCATAGGCTCCTTGGGTGCAATCCCAAAACAACTGGAGCACCACTTGAACACCATTGGCATTGACAAATTCGCTATTAGTCAATTGTAAAAGGCAGCCTTACTATTATTATTATTATTATTATTATTATCATCATCATCATTATTATTATCATTATTATTATTATATTTTTCTGCCTTTTTAATATTTCCTTCTCGGGAGGGGGGGGGCTGACTTCCCACACCACAATACCAGTTACACCACTGCTGGTCCCTCCCAGTGTTTATCCCGGGATCCAAATCACCATCAATGCTGCAGTTCTAATTCTATCCAAGCACAGCAAGAGATAACCAGAGCCACTGGGGGGATCTCTGAGGCTTTCCTGTCTCTTGCGTATCACCAGTGAGCGGGGAAAACATCCCTATCAGCAACCAGAGCAGGAAAGAAATGGGATCTGGCTGCAAAAGTCTCTGGATCATATCTCTGCTCTTTCCTGCCCCCCCTTCTGCATCCAAACCTATCATCACCCAGCTCAAATTAACTTTGGCAAAAAAGAGAGAGAGAGAGAGAGAAAGAGAGATTGGAGCGGAGCAAGGAGCAGTTAAATTTCTCTTTACGTCTTTTCCTTCCTTTATCTCCTCCACCAGTGCTGACCTCCAGATCCCTGATGGCCTTTTAAGAGGCACCAGGAAAGGGGGAGGCACGTTGTTTTGTTATTTTACTGTTCCACTACTCCATCTTTGCACTTAGCTGGGAAGGGACATCAAATTAAAAGTTCTTGCAACACAGCTGGCCCAGGGAAGGGTAGCGTTTCTGCCCAGCTCTTGTAGACTTGATGTCCGCCAATGCCTTCCACTTATGAATCAGAATCAGCACAGAGCTGGAAGGGACCTCGGAGGTCATCTAGTCCAACCCCCTGCTCAAGCAAGAGACCTGATACCATTTTGGACAAATGGCTGTCCAGTCTCTTCTTAAAACCTTCCAGTGTTGGCGCATTCACAGCTTCTGGAGGCAGGCGGTTCCACTGGTTAATTGTTCTCCCTGTCAGGAAGTTTCTCCTTAGTTCCAGGTTGCTTCTCTCCTTGATTCGTTTCCATCCGTTGCTTCTCGGCGCTTTGGAGAATACCTTGACTCCCTCTTCTTTGGGGCTGCCTCTGAAATATTGGAACACTGCTATCTTGTCCCCCCTCATCCTCCTTTTCTCTAGATTAACCAAACCAAATATCATTTTGTTGGATAGGGCCCATTGTTCAAGTCTGTCAAGATCTTTTTGGATCCCAAGTTTATCTTCTGGGGTGTTGGCTCTTCCTGCCAGTTTATTGTCATCTGCAAATTTGATGAGTTCCCCTTGTATTCCCCCATCTAAGTCATTGATAAAGATATTGAAGAGTCCTGGGCTTAAGATGAATAGAATAGAATAGAATAGAATAGAATAGAATAGAATAGAATAGAACAGAACAGAATAGAATAGAATAGAATAGAAATAATGACAAGAATAGAATAGAATAGAAATAATGATAAAAATAGAATAGAATAGAAATAATGATAATAGAATAGAATAGAATAGAATAGAATAGAATAGAATAGAATAGAATAGAAATAATGATAAGAATAGAATAGAATAGAATAGAATAGAATAGAATAGAATAGAATCTGGAAGGGACCTTGGAGGTCTTCTAGTCCAGCCCCCTGCTCAAGCAGGAGAACCTATACCGTCCCAGACAGGTGAATGTCTAGTCTCTTCTTAAAAACCTCCAATGATGGAGCACCCACGACTTCTGGTGGCAAGCTGTTCCACTGGTTAATTGTCCTCACTATTAGGAAGTTTCTCCTTAATTCCAGGTTGCTTCTCTCTTTGATCAGCTTCCAACCATTGTTTCTTGTCCTTCCCTTGGATGCTCTGGTGAACAACCTGAACCCCCACTTCTTTGTGGCAGCCCCTCAAATACTGGAACACTGCTATCATGTCTACCCTATTTCTTCTTTTCTTTAGATTAGCCAAACCCAGGTCCCGCAACCGTTCTTTCTATGTTTTGGTCTCCAGGCCTTGGATCATCTTAGTTGCTCTTCTGTGCACTTTTTCCAAAATCTCACCACTTTTTTGTGTGTGTGTGTGATACGGTGACCAAAATTGGCTGCAGTATTCCAAGTGTGGCCTCACTAGGGTTTTATAAAGCGGTGCTAATACTTCAGGTCATCCTGACTCTACGCCTCTGTTTATGCAACCCAGGATTGTGTTAGCTTTTTTGGCGGCTGCTGCACACGGCTGACTCATAGTCAAGTGATCGTCCACGAGGACTCCAAGGTCCTTCTCACAATTAATTTGCACCCACGCGTGCATTAATGCACTAGATCCAGTCTGGCACACGGGAAGGCAGGGGTCACACACACACACACACACACACACACACACACACACACAGAGATTGAGTGAGTGAGTGAGTGTGAGAGAGAGAGAGACAGAGAGAGAACAGAAAAACACACACAAACACACACACAAAACACACAGAGACCCGCCCGCCCACCGAAGCTTTAAGCCAGCAAGGCAGCGCAACCCGCCGGCAACTTTCCCCCGCGGTGACGTCACCGCGTTCTAATCCCCGGGGTTGCCCCGGGAGATCGAACCCTCCGGCTCCGCCTTCCCTTTCTCCCCCCTTCCCATGGGAAAAGGCGTGGGGAGGCGGGGCCCGGACCTCCCTTCGCCTCCGCCCATTGGCTAGAGGAGCTGCCCTTTCCAGACACGGCGTCCCGCCATTGGACCAAGCCGGCCCTGCCTGCGCTTGCCAGTCTCTGGAAAGGAGAAAAAAAAAAAAAAGGCTGGACGGGAGTCGGACCTCTCGGGCTGCGGCTGGGGAGAAAGCCAGGCGCTGGATGGAGGGCGAGACGGCGGGGGCCCGGGTTGCATGAGACCCCCCCCCGCACACACCGCCCCTCTTTGTCTTTTTTGCAACCCCTCCAGCTTTGCAAAGACCACCCCCCCCCGAAGTTGGCAGAGCTGCACATTTTGCAAGCCGGCCAGCAAATTTGGCATTTCGTGGGGGGCCATCGGGAGGCGCTGGGTTCCCCCCCCCCCCGTGGGCGCAATCCCACCACCACCGCTGGGGCGATTTGAAGGAGCCCCCCCCCTTAACCCCACCCTGGAACCCCCTGGCCGGAGCTGGCAGGGGAGAGGGGGGTGCTTAAGGTTCCCTTGAAGGCGTGGGGGGGTGGGTTTGGGGGGGTCCCCGTTGCCCCCCCCTCAATCAAGTCGGGAAAAGCGGCCCCCCCTCCCCAGAAAGGTTTGGAAAGCAGCTGGGTGGGGAGGGGCGCTGCTGCTGCTGCTGCTGCGATTCCCCCGGACAGATGCCCACTTCGTGCCAGCCCAGATGACCCCGGAAGAGGAGAGCCCCCCAGGAGGGGAGGCTGATGGGGAGCCAGCCGGCGAGCGCCCCTTCCCCAGGCATCTTTCCAAGAGCTGCAACCTGCAGAAGGTGAGGCTAAAAGGAGGTGGGGAGGGGGGAGGCAAAAGGGTGTGGGTGGGATGGGGAGGATCGAGCAGAGACCCCCCCCCGCCCGTGCATTTTTAGGTTTGTCTCTGCCAACAGCTCGGCTTCCCCTTGTCTGTGCCAGATTTCACGAAATTGGTACTATGGGTTCTCCTGCCCGAGCAGGGGGCTGGACTAGAAGACCTCCAAGGTCCCTTCCAACTCTTGTTATTCTATTCTATTCTATTCTATTCTATTCTATTCTATTCTATTCTATTCTATTCTTATCATTATTTCTATTCTATTTCTTATTTCTATTTCATTCCATTCCATCTATTCTATTCTATTCTATTCTATTCTATTCTATTAACTTATTTCTTATTTCTATTTCATTCCATTCCATCTATTCTATTCTATTCTATTCTATTCTTTCATTATTCTATTCTATTCTATTTCTTATTTCTATTTCATTCCATTCCATCTATTCTATTCTATTCTATTCTATTAACTTATTTCTTATTTCTATTTCATTCCATTCCATCTATTCTATTCTATTCTATTCTATTCTATTCTATTCTATTCTATTCTATTCTTTCATTATTCTATTCTATTCTATTTCTTATTTCTATTTCATTCCATTCCATCTATTCTATTCTATTCTATTCTATTAACTTATTTCTTATTTCTATTTCATTCCATTCCATCTATTCTATTCTATTCTATTCTATTCTATTCTATTCTATTCTATTCTATTCTATTCTATTCTATTCTATTCTATTCTTTCATTATTCTATTCTATTCTATTTCTTATTTCTATTCCATTCCATTCCATTCCATTCCATTCTATTCTATTCTATTCTATTCTATTCTATTCTATTCTATTCTATTCTATTCTATTCCCTTATTTCTTATTTCTATTTCATTCCATTCCATATATTCTATTCTATTCTATTCCTTATTTCTATGTCTATTTCTTTCTATTCCATTCCATTCCACTCTATTCTATTCTGTTCTATTCTATTCTATTATCCCATCCTATCCTATCCTATCCTAATCTTGAAATTGGACAGATTAGGACCTTGGAGCTAGCCTCACCAGGGCTGGAGACCATGTTGGGGAAGGCGAAGCAGATCCGTCAGCCCTTCCTTGCTCCTTCCAAATTTCACCCTTTTCACGTGGGGTGAACTTTCCACCTTTTTCACAAGGCTGCCTGATCTGCAAGTCCCAAAACTTAATTAATCAGAATAGAGCTGGAAGGGACCTTGGAGGTCTTCTAGTCCAGCCCCCTGCTCAAGCAGGAGAACCTATACCATCTCAGACAGGTGAATGCCCAGTCTCTTCTTAAAAATCTCCAGTGATGGGGCGCCCACGATTTCTGGTGGCAAGCTGTTCCACTGATTGATTGTTCTCACTGTCAGGAAGTTTCTCCTTAGTTCCAGGTTGCTTCTCTCTTTGATCAGTTTCCAACCATTGTTTCTTGTCCTGCCCTCTGGTGCTTTGGAGAACAGCTTGACCCCCCTCCTTCTTTGTGGCAGCCCCTCAGATACTGGAATACTGCGGTCATATCACCCCTAGACCTTCTTTTCTCTAGACTAGCCATGCCCAAATCTTCATATGTTGTTGTCTCCTAGCCTTTAATCATCTTAGTTGCTCTACTTTACCCTTTTCCTGAAGTCTCAAGATCTTTTTGTAAGGGGGTGACCAAAACTGGATGCAGGCTTCCAGGTGTGGCTTTACTAAGGAGTTGTAAAGCAGTACTCGGCCCTCAACAACTGTCTTGAGATAGAGAAAGACCCAGGAGATGGGGGGAGGGCAGGGATGGATTCCCAAGAAAGACGTGACCCGCACGCTCAGGAACATCTTGTCCGAGGCCTCCATCCCAAATGAGTCATCGTTAAGGGTGGAATTCAGCCAGGTCTTCCTGGGATCCACGGCCTCTGATCTGCTTCCAGCTAGATCACAGTTTAGGGAAAGGGTCCAAAAAAAGAGAATCTTTGTAGCTCGGGGTTGAAAAAAAAGGTCTTTGGTGCTTGGTTGTTTTCTTGCAGACGTTTCATGACCCAAACTAGGGAACATCATCAGTGCTAGAAGGGAGAGGAGGAGGAAGAGGAGGAGGAGGAGGAGGAGGAGGAGGAGGGGGAGGAGGAGGAGGAGAAGGACTGTGGGGTCCTTGGTGCTCTCTGAGCTGGGTTGTTTTCTTGCAGACATTTCATAACCCAACTAGGTAACATCATCAGTACTAGAATAGGAGGAGGAGGAGGAGGAGGAATGAAGGAAGGAAGGAAGGAAGGAAGGAAGGAAGGAAGGAAGGAAGGAAGGAAGGAAGGAAGGAAGGAAGGAAGGAAGGAAGGACGGACTGTGGGGTCCTGGTGCTCTCTGAGCTGAGTTGTTTTCTTGCAGACGTTTCATGACCCAACTAGGTAACATCATCAGTGCTGGAAAAGAGTGGGATTTATGTAATGGAGAGGAGGAGGAGGAGGACTGTGGGGTCCTTGGTGCTCTCTTAGTTGTTTTCCTGCAGAAGTGTCATGACCTCAACTAGGGAGAATCATCAGTATTAGAAGGAATGCGTTTGCGAGGAAGAGGAGGAGGACTGTGTGGTCCCTGGTGCTCTCTGAGCTGGGTGGTTTCCTTGCAGATGTTTCATGACTTAAACTAGGGAACAACCTCAGTACTAGAAGGAATGTATTTGCAAGGAGGAGAAGGAGGAGGAGGAGGAGGAGGAGGGGGAGGACTCTCTGAGCTGGATCTTTTTTTCCTACAGAAGTTTCATGACCCAAACTAGGAGAACACAATCAGCATCTGACGACGTTGTGCCTAGTTTGGATCATGAAACGTCTGCAAGAAAACAATTACACTCAGAAAAAGTTCCCGCTGGATTTGGACACTTCTACAGCGGTGGCGGGTTCGGAATATGACCTCCAGATGGGGTTTCTGGAAGACCATCTAGACTTCCTCAGGCTGAGCTGTTTTCTGCAGACTTCCTTGGGCAAAAGAAGACCTGACATGGCCACCGAGAGAGTCGGCCTCTTGAGACATCCTGTTCCCTTAATGCTACCTGCAAACAGGTTGCTTAATCACACCTGTTGTTGCGATTGCCTCGTAAACAACTTTGGTAATCAGCCCTTCTCATCCGTTGAGTGTTGTAGACCGGAGCTTAATCAGTTCCTGATTTCGGATCTGCAGGCGTGACAAAATTCCCTCGTTTTGTTTTTTTAAAATTTAAAGTCACGAAGGTTGACATCTTCTCTTTGTTGAATTTATTTGGGGAGTTTGAGGTCCATCGACACCCCCCAAAGTGTCTTTTTGAATGGATAAAGTGGCTTTTCTAAATGCAGCCCCAAAACACGGTAAAATTGTGTAAAGTTGTAACCCTAAATCCCTGTTTTAAAAAAAAGAGAGAGAGGATGATTTTTTGGTTTTTTGCTTTCGTGAAAAAAGTCTTAAAATGTTTAAACGTGCAGTGTATTAAATAAAAGCGGTCCTCAATTTATGGCGGTTCGTTTAGTGACGGTTCGAGGGTGCAACAGCACGGAGAAAGTGAGCGTTTTCACGCTTAGCGGCTGTCGCAACGCGATCAAAATTCGGAGAGTAGAGATTGCGAGAAAAAAGGGGAAGTATTAAATGTCGAAATAAGAGAAATTTGGGTTGTTAAATTTTAAGACATTTGGAAACTACTAGAAAATAAGAATATTATATTGCATTATTAACCGGCTGATGTAAGATCCTGGGATGAATTGTGATAAAGGAAATTGGGGTAATTTAAAACTTGGAAAGTATAAATTTTAAACGTTAAATTTAAACATTAATGGGAAACTAAAAATTGGGAAAAACGTATCAGGAGATTGATGGTCTAAACAGTCAGTTGTCTGAGATTGCATAGGTTCTCCTGTTTGAGCAGGGGGCTGGACTAGAAGACCTCCAAGGTCCCTTCCAGCTTCTATTCTATTCTATTCTATTCTATTCTATTCTATTCTATTCTATTCTATTCTATTCTATTTTCTATTTTCTATTTATTCTATTCTATACTATTTTCCATTTATTCTATTCTATACTATCTTCTATTTATTCTATTCTATTCTATTTTCTATTTATTCTATTCTATACTATTTTCCATTTATTCTATACTATTTTCTATTTATTCTATTCTATACTATTTTCTATTTATTCTATTCTATTCTATTTTCTATTTATTCTATTCTATTTTCTGTTTATTCTATTCTATTTTCTATTCTATTCTATTCTATTCTATTCTATCAGAATTCCGTATCAGAACAACAGCTGGAGCACCGCATGTTTAAACTTTCTTAAAAACTGCCTGCAATTGTGAGAAATTTTATTTTTCCAGAGTCGTTCCATATCATTAACCTGTTGGGCAGCCACCATGGCTGGCTTCTCTTCTAACTGGTTTACGCTAGAATTTTGATTTTTTTTATTTTATTTTAAAAAAATATCCTTGTTGACTTGACAAGCCAGCAAAAGAAAGTTGACTGGCTGCTTAAATATTTCCTGCATGAGGTCAAAAAACAGCCACAAAATGCCTGAGGTTGTTCCTCTGGAAATCCAGAAAGAATATTCTGTTTGACTTTAATTGTGGCTGCACCGTACTATACAGTCCTCGGCTTAGCGACCGGCTGCTTAGTAAGTTATGATGCCCCCCCCTCAGGGGGACGGGTAGTCCTCGGTTTAACGACCGGCTGCTAAGTAAGTTATGATGCCCCCCCTCATAGGGACGGGTAGTCTTCGGCTTAAATTAGCAATTAATTTTTTAACGTTGTTGTTGTTAGTTGCGAAGTCATGTCCGACCCATCGCGACCCCATGGACAACGTTCCTCCAGGTCTTCCTGTCCTCCGCCATCTTCTGAAGCTCACGCCTCCTGCTTCAGTGACTCCATCCAGCCCCCTCATTCTCTGTCGTCCCCTTCTTCTCTTGCCCTCCATCTTTCCCAGCATTAGGCCCTTCTCCAGTGAATCCTCATTAGGTGGCTAAAGTACTTGAGTTTCCA